GCCTCCTACACCCTCCTCGCCACTGATTTGAATCATTAGTTGTTCCCTTGTGCCAGGTTTTGTTAACACCACTTCCTTTCCCCCCACCTCTCCCTCTCCCGTGTCGTCCCAGAACTGTCGGTCCCATTGTTTTCTCCTCCAGATTGTTCATCCAGGCTCTCTTATTTAGAGACACCTGTGAAGAAATAACATGCACCAAAACAAGACAGAGCAAAACCAAGCAACAAAAGAAAACAAAACAATAAGAAAAAGCCAATGACAAAAAAACCCCCAAACCTACAACACAACAAAAACAAAAAAGAAAAGCTGTAGTTAGTTCAAGGACTGTTTGTTGGCCTTTAGGAGTGTTTTCCTGTTGAGTCTGATGGGGTGCCAAGACCTGGCTCCAAAGTCTATTTTTGGTATTCCCTGGGGACTTCGTTGCTCTGTTCCCTTGCTGTTCTGTTCCACACCCTTAGTGTTTTGCCTCTTTGTGGTGGCATCAGATTGGGTGCAATTCCCACACTGTGTCTCCAGTGTTGTCCCCTGTAGGGCTATGGGTCAGTGAGGGATATCGTGTCTTAATAGTGGGGCTGGCCACATGGTTTTCTCTGTGGATTGGCTGTTCCGAGCGGGAATCTTGTCAATGCTCGGTGGGCCAGGATGTGTTCCATTCTCTCTTCCTCCCACTTTATCTGCTCCCACGTGCTCTGATCAGACACGTCCCTTTCCCCAAGCTGCAGCCTCAGTGCTGTCCTCTGAAATAAATTCTTGGGGAGGGGGAGGGGGCAGGTGTCCACGTAGTTGGGATTGGGGCCGGCCCCTCAGACCTCCACTGGTTCCTTACTCCATGCTGGCATGTTGCATTCATGTCTTGGAGCACGGGGTTGAAGACTGGTCCCTCTTTCCCTGGGGAGATATAGACAATATTCTCCCCTTGGGTGGGTTAGTGCCCTGCTCCCCCGCTACCCATCTCTTTTTAATTTTTTTCCTTTCTCCCTGTCTTTTTTAGTTGGCTACCATATGTATCCCTGGATTTGGTCTGGTCCTTACTGAACCTCGTTTTTTTTGTTTGTTTTTTTGAGGGCTGATTTAAGAGAACAACATGCGTATGTAAAATTTTGTTTCTTACTCGGGAAAAATGCCGCCGAAACCCTTGTGATGTTGGACACAGCTTACAAGGACAGTGCTGTGGGAAAAACCTCAAGTGTACGAGTAGTTTTCTCCTTCAAAAAGGTGAAATATTGATTGATGATAACCTTGTTCTGGGTTTCTGTCAACTTCCAGAATGGACGAAAATGTCGACAAAATTCATCTACCTGTGCTCAAAAACTGTCGTTGGACTATTGAATTGATGGGGAAGTTATCTGGACTGTGTTGGACCTTGCTTTAATGAATTTTAATGGAAGGTTTGGAAATGTGAAGGTGGCTGCGAAATTTGTGCCTTGGTTTCTGAGTGACCAGGAAAAAGATCTTCCAGTGGAAACGTGCCGTGCTTTGATAGAACAAACGTGCCGTGTGGCCCAGACGAGAGATGGTCCTATTCTTACAACCCCAAAGCAAAGATGAATCAAGCCAGTGGAGGATGCCATCATCACCTTGCTCCAGAAAAGCTTGCCATGTGAAATCAAAGATCAAGATAATATTCATTTGTTTTTTGGCTGTGAAGGAGATTTGGAGTTCATTCTACCAGGTCTGACTGTTCATCAAGCTTCCTTTTTAGAAGTCCTGCAAAGATTGTGTAGCAATGTGTGACAAACTAGGCCTGATTTGTGGCAATGCACCTTCTCATGCAGCCGTCTCAGTGTGCCAGTATTTGCCAAAAAAACAGCTGATCGTTTCGGGAAGGTGAGCCTCACAGAATGCCGCGTTATTAGAATAAGGTGTTCTTGTGTTAAGGGGGCAATTGAGTAGAGGCCCAATGTCATCTGCAACCTTAATCCTTTCCTTGGTTTTAACAAATGCAATGTATGCTCTTGTTTTGTTAGCACAACTGCTTCATGTTCTTTCCTTTACAAGGATGAAAGGAGAGAAAAAGGAGTACTAAAGAGAAAGGGACTTACCACCACCAAGAAAGCAGGGCTAACACGGAACACATGCTGTGCCGAGAAGCCTCTAGACTAGTGGAAGAGTGATCCGCAGATGCAGAGTCCTCTAAGGAAAACCAGGCCCTCCCCCCAGAGCTGATAGAGGACCCTTTCCCCTGCAGTTGGTGCCCTCATTGGGCGTTTAGCTCCTTCAACTCTGAAAGATCAATTCTCGGTTTGTTTTCACCTTGGGCTTACAGTATTTCTGTTATATTAGCATTTTAAAATTGGGCGCTAATTGTCTTCTTCAGTTGTTGAAATTTTCCTTATATTTTAGAGATCGGACCCTTGTGACCTGGAGCCTCTTTTCCAGTCTGTAGGTTGTCTCCCTTTCTTTTGAAAAGTCTTCTGATGAGCTCAGGTTTAACTTTTATCAGGTCCCACGTATCTCTGTTCTGCTCTTAAATTTGTACTTCTATTTTTTGTTTGTTTTATTTTAAATTGTTTTATTGGGGGTCTTACAACTCTTTTCATAATCCATACATCCATCCACTGTGTCAAGCACATTTGTATGTATCTTGCCATCATCCTTTTCTTTTTGTTAATGATCATATATTTATTCATGAAACAATATATTAAATGCTTACAATGTGATAGTCATTGTTTTAGGGCCGAGAAGCACAATGGAGAGCAAAACAGACAGAATTACATATCTTCATTAGAATTTACATTTTCAAAACATCTTTTTACTTGAGCCCTTGGTATCAGCTCATTCCCCCCTCCCTCCGCCAGCCCCCCTCCCTCATGAACCCTTGATAGTTTATAAATTGTTATTATTTTTTCATGTCTTACACTGCCTGATTTCTCCCTTCACCCACTTTTCTGTTTTCTGTTCCCCAGGGAGGGGGTTATGTGTAGATCCTTGTGATTGGTTCCACCACACTCTTCTGGTGTCTCTACTCTCACCACTGGTCCTGAAGGGATCATCCGCCCTGGATTCCCTGAGTTTCCAGTTCCTGTCTGTACAAGTGTACACCCTCTGGTCTAGCCAGAATTGAGATCACGATAGTGCGGGGTAGAAAGTGGGAAGGAAGCATTAAAGAACTAGAGGAAAGTTGTATGTTTCATTGGTGCTATACATTGGTAGTTCTGTTAATCTATTATTATTTTCAATTTAGGTTCCAAATTTTTGCCACTATGTTTTCTTTCTAAGAGCTTTGTGGTTTTGAGTTTAACATTTAGGTCCTGATCTGTTTAAAAGTTGGTTTTATGTATGGGCCCTGGCTCGTTTATTACATGTGGCCATCCACCTTTGCCAGCATTAATTGTTGTAGAGGCTGTGTCTTTCCCACTAAGTAGTGGTCCAGAGAAGAATGGGTTTATTTCTAGCTTCTGATTTTTATTTCACTGCTCTGTGTCTTCATCTGTTGTTGAACCAGTATCAAGCTGCTCTGATGGCTGTAGCTGTGTAGCATATTTTGAGGCTGGGAAGTGTCAGACCTCCTACTTGGTTGTATTTTATCTTTTAATGTGGTGGATATGTTCTTAACCAAATGAATGTACCTAAGGTTGATCAAGAATTGTAAAATAAGATTCTTCCATAGGTAGGCTTAAAAAAATTGTAGACTTTATTTTTCATTTAATTTTTTATTTCTGAACCATGCTTGAAATAGAGGAGTGAGCTTCGAAAATGAAAAGATGTGGAGCGGCGCCGAACGGAGTAGCAAACGGTCGGTCGAGCACCATGCCTAAGTTTTACTGTGACTACTGCGATACATACCTCACCCATGACTCAGCATCTGTGAGAAAGACACATTGCAGTGGTAGGAAACACAAAGAGAATGTGAAAGACTACTACCAGAAATGGATGGAAGAGCAGGCTCAGAGCCTGATTGACAAAACAACGGCTGCGTTTCAACAAGGAAAGATACCT